TTAATCAATCATTCTAGCGTTCTCATTTATAAAACAATCGATAATTAAAACTGAAATATATTATAATGCATTTAATGTTTACTTTCTTACAACATTGCATGGTTATTTTATTGTGGGAGCACAGCATTGTGACACTATGATATTTGCGACGCATTTGACTGCGCCTTCTTTATTCCTCGATGCAAATCATCTAGTTTAAAAATGTAAACATTCCAATACCAATATTAGATTAATTATTTAAATGATACATCCTTTATATTTTTATTTGATTACGTTTTGAATATCATTAACAATAATCCGTTGTTTGACCCTTGAACGCAAGAAATATTTCCGTGAATATATTGTTTCTATAAGTACAAAACTAATATGTTACTAATTATAGATTTTCTGAATATTTCGCATAATTTGGTCACATCTGCTCTGTCTTATTTTTTTCTAAATAATAAAACGTTGAAAAGTACCCTAGTGCAATGCACTAATTGAAAAATGACATTTACGTTAAAATAGTATTATATTTCTATGTAATCCTAATCCTTTAAATTATATTTAAGTTTTGATTTACAATTTGAGTCTCATAAAATGCACTAAAATGCGCATGAAAAGTTTCACGTTTTTTGACCTCTTGTGATGACAGACATAATGCGACCCGAAAGCCTTAATATTTTTTACCAAATGGCATTTTAAAAGCATAAGGACATATGCCCCTCCCTAAATATCGGTTCAAATGTCGTTATGCATATATGGTGCCACGGATTTGTAATATCTATGAGCCATACCATGGACTATAACGTACATAATGTGTATAAAGCTAATATATCAAGAAAGGGGAGTGCTGACAAAACAAATGTCTTATCCACCATACATGTATTTAATCCATGAACAGATTAACTTGTCATTACGGGACCTTGGTCTCTTAAAAGCACATTAATTGTGCGTAAAAAATACAGGATTACGTTCAGAGAAGAAACACTTCAACTTATGTTTATTCATTCATTATGCTTTTTCACCTGCCGTTTGTTGTAAACTGATGTTCAAACATTTAGGAACCCTTAATTAAAAACTGGCGGATGAATGCATTCCTCCATTGAGCTCTTTACAAATTAATTCTAATTTGTGATAAGCTTATGAACCCACGTATAATCTGACTATGCAATGTTTAGCAAATATTTCATTCTATGGAGGGCAAAACCTGTTCATTTTTCAATGATTTTTGCAACATGTATTGCCCGCAGCCCGTAGGGCGAGGGAAATACATGCTACAAAAATCATTGAAAGTGCAACAGGTATTGCCCGAACATAGAATGAAATATTTGTTTTATGATATCATTGCTAGACATTCTCTACGATCACTTTGCATTTCAAAGAAATATAGAATATTTATTTTAACCAGTGGACATTCATTTTATCAATAAATATATCATAAACCCATAAGTTACATATAAACGTACAAGTATCATTGTATAGTACACTTTTATTTTCGTTCAGTGTAGCTGTCAGAATTCCCGGGCGGGCAATACGCCGGCCAAAGATGTCTTTTATAATCCGAAAATTGATGGGGCTGCGAAATACGCTATGGTATTTTTGATCACATGGTACTATATCAGCCAATCAAAACACACAATTTCTAGTAATGATATAATAATATGAATTATGCCTAATTTAAGCTATTGTTTCACGGCATTGATGCACCTCTACAACCAGGCAAACATAATGGCACATACGTCATATTTTTACTTATTCTTATTTTCAGATTACCACGGAAATTCATCCAAAGCCAGACTGATTTCTATGAGAGTAGAACTTGGAAGTAGCTAGATATTTTTTGATCAATAATTTTCTAAATTATTTACGTCCCGTATTTATATATACGTATGTCCCGTTTCGTTGGTTTCCTATAATAGAGAAAATGGAATGTAGGTTATTCTTATATAATTATTGGATGTGAAGTGATAAGGTTAATCCAAGAAAGAAATCAGAAGTCATTGAACTAAAGGAGATTTGAACAGGCACGTCTCTCGTAAAATTAGAGGAACGTAGTACAAAACATTCATACTGACAAAGTCATTTATTTGGTTTTTAGTATTCCCAATATTCCATGTGCCAATTTTTATACAAAAAAAGCTAGCGTTAAAATTGCCTGTTCGAAAACATTTTGAAAACGCTCTTATTTTGCGATTAAAAAAAAGTTTCGATTCTTACGAAAAACATGCAATGTAGGCTTTATATGTTTATAAATGCTTTAACTAAAAACATTGGCACCCAAGATAAAACTAGTTTAAGCAATACAAGTTAGTAAGCCAAATACAAACATTTTCAACTAAATCTAAACATATTTTTATAATTAGGAAAATTGACGGACAGTTTGTTAATTGGGTGCCATGTTCCAGCAATCGCTATAGCAAGATATCGGTTCATTCAACACAACTACATGCGGTGTGATAATTACCTACACTCCTCTTCATAAGTTTGGCGAGCGTAAGTCTTCATTCGATGCATATATGTGTTCATTAGATGCATGTTTATGTCGATTTATGTTTAATGTAAGTACATAAGCATGATGTGTACTTCAAGGTTATAAAGTAACATCATACTAATGTCCGATCATAAGTTCGAATAATAGTTGTGTCTCAAATATTAATTGTATGACTTATACGAGACCAATGGTAATGCTACCAGAGGGAATCGGACCTGCAGGCCTTACTATTTATATTATGCATGTTTTTTTTCTGTGTTGAAAAATTCGATATGTGATGTATATTTCTTAGTTTCTTAGCGGTTTATCGTTATATCATAATTACAATCACCAATTATACACTTTTCAAACGAGTTAACTTGCACTATCAAGACGTCATGCTATTCTCATACTTATAGAACTTACAGATACGTACAGGTTGGCGTTTCGATTTTATATGCTATGGATTCCTTAAAGTATCCATTATTGTGTACGATATACTGATAATACTATGCGTGTTACCCTGATATTTTATGCACGTTAGTATGATAATACTGTGCACGTTAGCCTGATAGTAGAGAGTTTAAGCTACCACTGTTTTTCACAACCTAAATGCGAACGTTAGTTATTAAGCGATGTATTTGTATGGGCGATTGGTCATATGTATATGTTGGCGTTTTGATTTTATATGCAAGCTTAAACTCACTAATATTGTGTGCGCTCTACTGATAATACTATGCAAATGACCCTGATAGTTTTGTGCCTTATACGAGATAATAATGTGCACGTTAGCCTAATAAATTGTGTACGTAAGCCTGATGATACTTTGCAAGTTACCCTGATATTAAACGTCCGTTCGTCCGTCCGTCCATATGTCCGGGAGATATCAATATCTTTCGTTAAAAATATAATCTTTTGTTAACTCAAATACTAGTTGACGGATTTGGTTCAAATTTTATATGCTGATGTCTAGGGACAAAGGAGCTAGGCTGAAGTAGAGATTTCTAAAATGGGTGCTAAATATCAAAATGGCGGCCATTTTTCGTAAAAAACGTAATCTTTGATACTCAAATACCAGTGAACGGAAATTGGTTCAAATTTTATATGATGATGCCTAGGGAAAAAGTTAATTTGTCCAAGAACAGTTTTCAAGATGGCGGCTGAATTCCAAAATGGCCACAATTTTTCATAATAAAAACGTAATCTTTGATAACTCAAATACTAGTTGGCGGATTTGGCTCAAATTGCATATGCTGGTGCCTATGGACAAATGAGCTACACTGAAGATGGGATTTTAAGAATGGCTGTTAGATATCAAAGTGGCAGCCATTTTCGTAAAAAACGTAATCTTTTATAACTCAAATACCAATGAACGGATTTGCATCAAATTTTATTTGATGATGCTTAGGGACACATTACCTCTGCTTGACAAATAATTTTCAATATGGCAGCTGAATTTCAAAATGGCTATAATTTTTCGTAAAAAATATAATCTTTGATTACTCAAATAGTAGTGAATGGATTTTGTTCGAATTGTATGCTGATGCCGAGGGACATAGTAGCCATGTTCGAGAAAGATTTTCAAAATGGCAGCTGAATTACTAAGTGGCTGCACTTTTTCGTAAAAAGGAACGTAATCTTTGATAAGTCAAATGCTAATTTACGGTGGTTTACATTTTATATGTTGATGCCTAACAAGGGAAAAACAAGCTCTGCTAACGAAGGAATTTTCAAGATGGCTACTAATAATCAAAACATGTTTTATTCGGTGGGATTTGCTACTCCGTGGAGTTGCTGTTTTTCTAGTTTCTGACTTTGTTTAGTTTTGAATCTCGCACATTATGGCGTAGACAAAGTTGTTATACGTTAGCCTGAATATAAGTTGTACGTATGCCTGATAATACTGTGTATATACGCATGATAATACTTTGTACGTTAGCTTAATAATACTGTGAACGTTGTTCTGATTATACTCTGCAAGTTACCCTGATATTTTTGAACTTTAGTATGGCACGTTAGCTTGATAATTTAGTGTACGTTATACTGATAGCACTATGCAAGTTACACTGATATATCGTGATAATTCTGTGTACGTTAGCCTGCTATTGCTGTCACATTATCCTAATGATATTATACAAATTATCTTGATATTTTGTAAATTAGCCTGATGATACTTTGCACGTAATCATGATTATAAATACTGCGTATGTTAGCCTGATATTACTGGCACATTATCTTGATAAGATTATGCAAGTTGCCCTGATATTTTGTGTAAGATAGCATGATAATACTTTGCACGTAATCATAATAATACTGTGTATCCTAATACAAAGAGGGAACGTGCTACTTATAACCTTAGCAAAATTCTCTAAATCACAATTGATTCTCTCTATACCCTTCAGAACTTTCAAATATCTATCAGACAGTCTATGTACCTCACGTTTCTTGAAGAGCCACGATTGAGACCATCACGATCGTCATTCAACCTGTAGCGTTTTCAGCTGTAGTAAGAGGATAGCTTAGCCAGTTGTGATTCAGGGTATGAAGTCTACAATTTTATATGAGTTTTCGCAGAAGCAGGAGAACCAGCGGTCTTAGCACTCTACTAGCCTTTCCCGATAGCAGCAACTTGATAAAACTGTATTACACCAATTGTAATTCTGGAATTACTCAGAAATGGTAATCGATTAACGCAATTTAGTTTAAAATATACGGAGAAAAAGCGAACGGATTGAAACACAGTATGAGAAAAGGGGGATTCTACTATTGTTGAAGAAAGATTCAGAAGGATTGTTAAAGAACAATTAAGGCGGATTGTCGTAGAATAATTCAGGAAAAGAGAGGCAATACATTGATGGACGGAAACATAAATATTTGAATCATTTTTGGTAAGTGTTCTTGAAAATCTTCTTCGTGCTTGACCGTGTTAAAGTTGTTTATCTTTGCCTGATGTAAACTTGAGTCAAATGGGAGCAAGGAAACTTTTTATCGCAGTAGTAATATTAATGATTTAAGTATATGACTTTGAAATTTGTTCCCTATCTGTGTAGTTGGAATACGTTGGAATAATGTATGAAGTTTTGGAATAAAATGTAATTAATTATAAATAATAGCTAGATCTGATGCGCTAGAATTCGGTAATAGTTATATGTATGAATTGCACGACGCATTAACTGCTACATTATAAACCCAATTAAAAAGGAGAAAATTGAAGGATTTAAAGAAATTACCACAATATTACAGTAATTTTTATTCTAGGCATTTGAATTCCTTTGTTACGATGACCATATGTTACGTCGATAGACCTGATATGAACAAACCAAAACATTTGAAAAGTGATTTTTGCAAATCATATTGAATCATCATTGGCCCAGATCGTAAAGTTCTAACAAAGTTTTCGCATGGTTAACAAGATCTCCATGGTGGTGTTAACATACCATATACTGGTAATGTAAGACTATCTGTAATTAATTAGTTAATCTAAGTAAATACGTGATAACATATCCGTGGAAATATTTTCGTTTCTGCTGTTCCTGGGTTATCTTTACACGGTAGGGAGGGGAGGGAAATGGTACCGTATCTACAGTTTATAATTAATATTTCAAGTGATAACATATACGTGCACATGTGTTAGTTTCCGTTGATCACTAGATAGTCTCTGTACAGTGGGGAGGAGGAAAGTGTTACGGTGACGATCGTTTCCATAACTTGATTCGTAAAAATTTCAGAGATGACAGGCGGGCATTTTTCTCTCCTATCTCCGTGGCAGTTGGGTAATGCAGAGACATATAATAATATGTGAGATTCCTTGTCTTTGGACTTTTTGTGTATTGGTACTGGACAATAGTTGGGTAAATATTTTATGATTTTTCTAGGTCTGTCAATTTTATCCACTCATGTATAAAAATCAAGACAAAAAATATAAATATATCCTATACATACAATTTCGTCCGGTGTATTCTCGCGTGAATGCAGTCGTGTATCCATAACTACCGACATGTCTGCCCAAGTGCCACATGGAAAATCTTTTGCAATGTTTGAAAGTAATCAAAGCACATAACTTAATGAGTTATGGATGATCAATCCATTCATGCCTTGTATCATAGCCTTTGAATTCGAACTGGCCCTCTTTCAAAGGCTTGACACAAAGTAATTCACTGAGCCATTGGTTTAAATCCTTGTTGTCAAAGTATCATATTGTTTGATTGACGGCCTGGCGTAAAATCTCACGTATATCATTACTGCATTGGTTTAGGAAAATTATTTATAGAATTAACACCAAATCAAACTGCATTTATACAATATTGTCTGTATGATATCGAGTATCGACAAATGTTAGCGAGTTTAAAGGAATATTCCTTGCCAAACCATCTCTCTCCTCATATGGTAGCTATAACCATATATATGCTTGCCATGTTTAGCAAAACACGCAAAAATGTTTTGATATGGTCAAATTTGATCACTTAGAAATGTGATGCTCAATTCCAGTTAGCTGCTATCTTTTAGAATTTCACACAGGAAGTGATGTCATCGACACTCAACTTTGCATATAGCATTAGGTGAGGAGCTATTCAGAATTACAAAACCAGCTAAATATTCTTTTTCAACTTTGTATCTTATTTAATCCTTCTGAAAATCTCTTCTTTTATTCTAAGTTGACAAGCCCTGAAAATATTTTTGCACAGAAAGTAATGATCACTTGTCTAGAAGTGATTTTGTGCTACTTTCCTATACTGTTATGGGCAAGGTTATAGAAGTTGAGAGTTGATGACATCAATTCCTGCAAGAAATCTTGAAATATGGCAGCTCACTGGAAATAAGCACTAGATTTTTAAATGATCAATATTGACCATATTAAAACATTTTCCCATGTTTTGCTAAATATGGAAACTATACATATGATTATAGCTACCATATCAAGAGAGAAGGGGTCTTGCAAGGAATATTCCTTTAAGCATGCATAAAAATCGAAACGCCAACCTATACGTATGACCTATCGCCCATACAAATGCATCCATCGCTTTAATATTTTCCGTTCGCATTTAGGGTGAGAAACATTGCAAACTAAAACCCCCTATTGTCAATTAGACGTGTAAATGGAAAATAAAGATGTAACGCTGTATTCTACGAATGGTGTTTATTTGGCCATGTTTAGGATGTTCCAGTGATGGTTTTAAGGAAACAGGCATGTAAAAATTGAATTTGTATTGGCAGAAATCAGTGGCGTCTGTCACGTTGATTCTGTTATATTCTATAATTGATTTATTTCAGTTTATTTCGATTGATTTCATTTATAAATGACTCCGATGATCCTCTTCGCCAGATGCTCACAGCTTCTGATTAGTACCGTCAAAATAGATAAAAGCGAAACATTCCAGATTCCAGATTTATTGCGGTCTAAGACAAACAAATCAACACATTTTTACAATATCTTTTTTACAATATGATTTGGCATTACACTTTTACAATATGATTTGGCATTACACTTTTACAATATGATTTGGCATTGCTAATACATTCTTACAAAAATAAAGATCAGATTCGGCCTTGTTTGGGTCAACCTTTCCTCTTTTTTTCATTTCGAAATTATAATCCACGAGAAATTACGGCACAACTGCAGGTCATTGAAGTATACATCTCTATGATCGGGATGAATTGCAAGTAGGTCATCATGTCAATTTGATTGGTCGATGATATCATATTCGACCGGGATCCAATTTAAACTGGATTATGGAACCCCAAGTTGTGATATATCATTTTAGTTTCACACGGCGTTATATCGCACCATTGCATTCTACCTTTATGACCCACGTGGGAAAACAATTATTTAATGGTGTCCAGGAAACCTCATAGATTACGACGAATTGATGCTAAATCGGTTCAGAATGTGATATGAACATTTATTTATAGCACATATGCATTCATTTATTCGTTTGTTATCTTTTTATGGGTTTGATTTGTAGCATTAACTATAGAGTTATCTCCGCTTGCTGATGCTAATGGACGTTGTGGTTTGTTTCAAAAGTTGTTTTAATTGCAGTGCAAGAGAAAAAATCCAGTGTGCACAATCAGTGGTACACAGAAATTACAAAGGAGGTCGATTCCCTGTCCATAGCCAACTGTTGGGAACCAAAGCCTCTGTCTGACTCGCCAGAATTATAGAGAAAAATACAATGCAGATAGTTTTTCAGTTGAAACCGTGAAAATGAAGTCAACGGCATTGTTTTGCCTTGCTCGTTCAGAGATCCTGACTACGTTCCTGATATATATGATTTATGCTCCAAGAGTTAATGGATGAGAAGAGTAGATACTATTTCGACAAATATTGCGCTTTCAGTCAGGTAAACCATAAGTCCACTGGTAATACGATTCCGGGGCAGAGTCAGATAATTAGGGGTCATTTCACGGTCTTTGCAAATATAACGGATTAGTAACAAATTCGATCTCTCTTCGCCCAATGTGGTAGGGACGTGTGTGTCGTCGGGAATGCAACATGATTTAGGGAGGAAAATTCAGAGACTTCAAGAAATGAATATGAATGAGGAAAGAAAGGATTGGTTCCAACTTCCAACTTCTGACTTCAAGTTATAGTTTTTATTTACCAATCAAACATATTTATGGGATTATTTACAGCAATCAATACATTCACCTGAAACGTTTTATTCGTGATAAATAGTATTAAAATGACCCTTTATTTATTACCTTACCATGTGCTGGGCTCCAGAATAATCGAATGAACAATATTTAGTACATACCGTTTTAATAATGTCGTAAGAAATATGTTCACAAGCGCAGGGTTTTATATTTTGGATTCATGAGGAATTTAATGTTTGGAGAGCCTGAGCATGACATTTAAGCAAAATATCAAGAACTTCGCATATTTAATTTTGTTAGTTCCAAGCCAGTTTTGATCCAATGTATAGTTATTAAAAACGGCACAGACGTCCAACTCTCCAAAAGAACATTACTTAGAGGTCGGGCCTTATATTTTATTTTGAAAAAATTCTTGGTAAAGAGCTGGAGCAGTTGGTCTGATCTAACTTCACAAACTCCTGCTCTTTATCAAGAAATTCAAACTATTGGTCAAGGCTCTTTCTTTTGCGTCGTTTTGGAGAATTCCATCTTTTCACCATGTGAGTTCTAAGAACGATGCCAATCAAGTATTTAATCATTTTAAAAGCTTAAAGACAGTGCCATTCCCTGTAACTCGTCCCTGTCATATCACAAAGAAGCAACTTCAAGATTAGTAAGAAAACTCCAATTATAAGAACCCATCATTCGTTCCGCTTTCAGAGTTTGCAAATTGATTTGTTCTAATAGTTTTATATTTGCTTCTCTATGCATCTAATCATTTACATTTACGGTGACCCAGAGATCGTTTCGCGCATGTTTCCCCAGAATGATAAAGGATTTGCTTGTATTTTGTTGTGCTTTGATGATGCCATATCATGAATAGAATACCCAGTTTGCTTTTATGGTGTCTCAAACATCGTTCCTGCTCGTTTTAATTTACTAAATTGGAATAATATTAGGGGCATTAGCAATAAATCCTCTTTATTTACGAGGCTGCCGTGGATACCTTCGAATCCCGACAATTAAGCAAATGTGTCCCTCGCCGTTCTGAAGAAATAATTAAATTCATCATCAACATGAGTTAGATGGTCTGATAGATTTATCAATCATTTAGATGGTTTTAGAATGTCAAGTATTTAAAAGTGCCATGGCATAAGTGTTGTTGTTATTAGGTAAGTGTTCTGTTAACACAAACCCATGTTTTAATCAATCTCCACAGTACAAGTGGTCTAAATCGAGGCATACATGGAATTTCATTTATGTCAAGTCCATGCACAAATCATTATATTCCATATTTCAGAACAAAATATTGATTCTGGTTGATGTCTGTACCTTGAAAGGCCTGACACTTGATGTCATGTTTATAGGACCTAGGGGTGTTCAAAAAGTTATGTATTGGTTTAACACCCTTTTGAGACAATGTTATGAATCATAATGGGGTTTTCATTTTTAGTTTAAGGTTTTTTAACTATTCAAAATTTTAAGACGGCTGCAACAACAACCCCGTTTAATGTTATCAATTTTCTGTTTTATATAAAATTGTGCTTTAATAGCTTCTACCTCAGAGGCTGATCTTGTTATTATATGTCATATGTCACCTCAGTGGCCAATAATCAACAGGAAAAGGAAGAGTAACTATATTTGCATATTTCTAGCCATGTGTCTATTTTCCAAATTCAACTATAATTCATGTGGAAGTTTTATTACAAAAGAATTGCCAATTTCGTAAATCAAATCAAGAATATTAAAACGATTTGAGGTATTGACAATAATCAAATTTCACTGATCTAGTTATCGATTCGGAACTGTGTTAGAATATTTGTGTCTAATCTTCAAAATAAGAAAACTATACATGCGTGTTTAGTCGAACTCTTTTGATTAAGTGAATACTTTCCAAAATTATGCTATAAATGTGCAACTTAAACATGTCCAACACACAGTATATGTATATAATGTATAAACAGGGTGTCCCGTAAGTATGGGACCCCCATAGACAGACATATACCAATGTCTCCATAGTATTTGTCTTATATAATTTAAAGCTAATCCAAAAATACATTGATTTGCCAAATATCATGGTTCAACTCACAAATGGGAAAAAATAACAGGAATTTTAAAACTTAGTGTTTGGTCAAAATTGAAGTTCAGTTCAGTATCCTGGAAACAGCTCTGACCTAAATGTGACCCAAAACATAAGTGTTATCGTCAAAGATATGTTTGTAGGAATCGTACAATTTAATGGGTGTCCCAATGGCACATTTTATAAGTAACACCTTAAATTCATAAATCAATAATATTGTATTGCAATATGTACCTCATGTAACATACAAACAAATTATGTTATTTCAGCATCCTAGCTATAGATGCGTGGCGCTCAGATAATTTCTTTTCACTCACAGATTTTTCTACAGAGGGAAGAAAATGAGAGACATTCTAGAAATTGAGCATTGGTATGAAAGGACACTACAATGTATTGACATGTACTACTAGTCTTATAGGGAATCTGATTTTATTTTATACATGGGGGAAATGGTGCGGATAATTGAAAAGAAAATTGATAATTAATGATATATGTTAAGCTTAACAACTTATTCACAAATCTGAACCAGGCATGATATATCACACCCCTGTCAATCAGAATGCAGAATATGATGTATAAGTCATTCTAGAACAGATGGATGGTTATTTTCAGATTTCAGAAAAAGTGTTAGTGTGCCTACCCACGCCATGATTTAAGTATATTGTTTTGATGATTGTTACATTTTTCGATTTATATGATAACACCAATTTTGAATATATATTTTTTTCTTTCTGAGGCCTTTCTGAGGCCTTTCGATGTGTCATAATTATTGTTTGTGTTATATGATGAATTGAAGGTCTTTGTAAGTTAAACCTTTGTTTGGATTTGTCTTACAATGTTTTCATAGATATTTCCCCCTTTGTTATTATATCAAAATGTACATGTTGGTTGATTGGTGCTGCATATAGGTTGCAGTAGCAATCTTTCCGAGGCAATATTTCCTAGCTCATTTGACGTGGCAAAATGTGGCAGAGTTTATTGTATTGCACACGATAACATAAGTTCCCCTCAACACAATCGCGTCATATATAATGGGTCTGGAGGCGGACTGTGTAAATAGCGGCATAGATAACCAGGCGTAAACGCTTAACCTTGCCAGGTACTTTGCTGCTTTGAAACGTGTTATTTGTTTGTAACCCAATACAAAAATTAAACTGATTACAGATCAAACTCTCGATATGGCAGAGGAATGCGTATTTCTTTTCAATTAGTTCTTAGAAGTGTTACGATTTTTTGTGCGATTTGCGTATTGCATGGACTTCTGTGTTGGGGTCGAGTGGTTAGAATTATGGGGCGAAGCATTTTATCTTAGTTCATTGGTAAGATAACTTTGGTTCAATCAAGTGTAGTTGTTTCATGTTTCTGGCAATTTACAATCAAGTACTGCTATATAACCCGAAGATATGACCCAACATTATACATTTCATTATGAGAACCATAAATATTACTGCATAGGGATTATATTTAGCACATGTTTAGGCATTTCTAATCTTCATGAAGAATATCATTCAATCTTTGTTAAACCACTGACTTGAATCTATCTTTTTCAAAGAATTTTAACTCACTGTTCTCTTATTTGTTCAAAGTTAATTGGCTACAAAATTATCTACTTTTATTTTTTTTCTTAAAATTTCATGATCTATCCTCGTATATTAACAAACATTTCATTTTCAAATCCAAGTTGACGTTGCAAATTATAAGTGACGTTAAGCTATACGTCTTTAAGATAACCTGTACGTGAACGTGTAGAATTATTGTCGTTTGTGAATTGGTTCTCAAAAACGTGTAGCTTATGCAATTGTGTGTGTAATACAAAATCATGCTCTTAGATCCCAAAACAACAGCTTCTGATCAATTCTGAAAGTATCTAACGATCAGAAAGTGGAACCGTTGCAGATCAAACAAACCTGCAGAAATTGTTTTTGTCAGGTCATGTACAAAGGATATGAATCCATTCGATTTTTCGTGATTAATTTATAAAGTGGCATATGGTCAAATAACAGAGGTATCGGGAATGTGTATATAGGCATAGAAGAGTCGTGAATATTATGTTGCTCATAGTTATGCTGTATTGGTCAATGCAATTAATTCAATAAATCGGAGGGATCCGAAATTCTTATAAATGGCGACCTATCTAAACGTTTTCAGACTTTTTGGCAAACATAAGATAGAATATTTTATGTTTTATAACAAACAATAATTCGACAACAAAGTATTTCATTTCTGGAAAATCCGAACTTTCACTATTATTATGAGAGAGGTAGGCTGTCGATAAATGACAGTGCTTGCTACGTGAAATTGTTTTTTTAGTTTTACAATAGCAAGATGAATAATTCCATGTTATCCAATTACAATTTACGACAGGTTGCAACAGTCTAGTTGTAACCTGTCACCAAATACAATTTTATAAATACAAGTCTCGAAATAAGTTTTTAACATCTTTTCTCTTTATTTTCAGGTGCGGGTAATAATGTTCTGGTGAAAATGACGAGCAACGACACTGAGAGTAAGCCACGACCTAAGCGGAAAGTTGACCACATTGTTTGGAAAGTGTGCACTGTTTTCTTCTGTCTCACCACCATCAGTCTTGCTATATTCCTGGCTGTTATTTACCTCAAAGATGGAGAACCTGTGAACAAGCAAAGGAATGCCCGTCTCGAAGATCGTTTACCTGTTCCTAGGACAGGAGATCTCAAGGTTAAACCCACGAATCCAAAATATCCAGATGTCTTGCATGATCTCACCGCGGAGGAATTGAGGAAGGTCAGGGATTATATGATATGGCGGACCAATCTTGAATTGGTACCATTTGAGAATGCCCGACCAAATTCTAATTATATTTTTCTAATTGAGTTATACACGCCAGAAAAGGATCAAGTCCTCGCATATCTCTACAACAAAAAGCGCATTCCCCGTCGAGAGGCAAAAGTGGTGATATTCCATGGTGCGTGGTTTCCGCACAAAGTCGTTGAATATCGAGTATGGCCCACCGATTCGCCAGCGAACCATCGCTTAATCGCTAACCCTATCTATACTAGAAATCCAATACCATTTAACGCCCGTCCCCTTGATAAGGTCCAACTTTTCTTCGCAAATAAGATCTTACACAATGCCACAAGAGAGGCATATCAACTCTTGAATGAGAGCTTTGGTTTGGCATATCACAACTGTACGCCTGAGAGCCAAACTTGTCTCAAGTTCATCCCCGCAGTGCCGTATTACTCGAGCACGGGGCATAGGAAAGTTTGGTATATCGCAGTCAGGGATGTTGAAGGTCATTATTTGCATCCTATTGGATTCCAAATTCTCATCAACCAAGACAACGTGGACGCCTCGCAATGGAGGGTCGATAGAGTCTTTTACAATGGCGGATACCAACGAACAATAGAGCAACTTATGTACAAATACAAAAGAAATGTCATCCAAAAATTAAAAGTCCCAGAACCTAAATATGGAGCAAATATGTACTCGACATTCAATAGACGGGGGCAGTTAATGCCCAATGCATCCAAACGAGCGCCCCAGAGTTTTGAATTCGATGGTGCCCGATACACCGCCAGAGGGCAGCATATAGACTATCTTGGGTGGAGTTTTGATTTCCGCGTGCGAACTACAACTGGATTACAGATTTTCAACCTTTTGTATAACAATGAGAGAATAGCATACGAGATAAGCCTTCAGGAAATTGCAGTTCTATTTTCTGGTGCGGATGCCATTCATAAAACGCATAACCACTTTGGCTCATCCTGGGGGATTGGTGCTTCAACGTTTGAGCTTATTCCCGGGGTTGATTGCCCAGCGCATGCCCTGTTCTTCGACTCTATTCATCTGATCAATAGTCACAGTCCGAGCGAGAATAAGAACTGTGTTTGCGTATTTGAACATAACAACGGCATCCCCCTCCGCCGTCATTACTCAGACAACCAAAAGGGTGAATTCACGTTTGCCGGTGGCATGCCAGACAACGTCCTAATTGTACGCGCAGTGAGCACACTGAACAACGCCGATTATATCATGGATTATATTTTCCATCAGGATGGCACGGTGGAAGTGCGAATCACACCGACGGGATACCTTAGTGTAACTCACTTTACATATGATTCTGATGAATACGGTCACCAGATACACGACAACGTCATAGGGAATCTTCACACGACGCTCTTCCATTTCAAAGTTGATCTTGATGTAATGGATGAAAACAACAGAATCTCAACATATTCTATAAGACCAGAACGGATTCACCATCCATTTGTGAATGACCGACGACGAAACCAGAAGCGATTTGAGAGAGTTTTAAAACAAAACGAGAAGGAGTCGGTCATAAAGCAAGGCGACCCAACATCCCCTACCTATATCCTGGTACATAATCCAAGTTCTAGAAGTCGACATAACCACCACCGAGGGTATCGTCTTCACGTCCCAGAGTCCCCTATCGGTATCTTACTAAATGACACAGGTGTAGACAGCGCCACCTCGTGGGCAAAATATAAAGTAGCCGTCACCAAAAGAAAGGCGGCTGAAGACACGAGTTCTTCCATTTACACACAAATGCAACAGCATGGACCTATAGTTAACTTTGAGCAGTTCATTAAAGATGATGAACACATCGTAGATGAAGACATTGTTGCGTGGGTTAGCATGGGAGTTGAACATATTCCAACAGCTGAAAATATTCCAACAAAAACAACGTCAGGTTCAAGTTTAAGTTTCTTTTTGAAACCTTTCAATTTCTTCCAAGAAGACCCGAGTATAAGCTCGACTGATGCTATTAACATTACCCCTAGAGCCAGATTCCATGACGTGAAAGTAGAACGTTATGGTACAAATACTAAAATTGCATACGAATGTGTTATTCCATCCAGGGGACCCGACCAATTCAACGGCACAAGGTGGATGACAAAAGCTCACACTGAATACAAAGATCGACCATACACATTTGATGTGGATTCAAGAGATCGTCTTTCGAGAGATCGTTATCCACAAGATCGTGATTCAAGAGATCGTTATCCACAAGATCGTGATTCAAGAGATCGTTATCCACAAGATCGTATTTCCAGAGATCGTTATATACAAGATCGTCAATCAAGAGATCACCATTCTCAAGATCGTCGTTCGAGAGATCGCTATTTACAGGATCGTTATTCACGACATCGTCATTAGAATGTCAAATTATATAAGCAAACTATTGTATACTCCATGCACATGATTTTGGAAGATACACGCGATAAAATCAAAATAAAAGCTGTAGTTTTTCCACAGACACCTAGTTGTGTATTCAATGTACTGTGTGTTACATTGAAGCAGATTATTTTCAGCTTCATTATCATTTCCGATTGATAACGTTGTCATTTGAATGAAACAAAATTGTGGTGTCAAAATTGAAAGAAACACCTTGACCTTGATTTATTTGCTATTATTAGGACTTTAAGTATGAGAAATACAATAGAATGAACTGTAGTTTGATTAATTTTAAAGAATGTACAGTTGTAACAACAGAGGAATACATTCTTTCTCTGCTATCTTTAAAGAATGGACATTTGGCAAGCTATTAAAAACCAGAGTGGCACAAAAGACGTATCAATAGTCAATACAAAAGAATTAAATAAAACTTTACAGTTGAAGAGTACAGTGTAAGCTTAAATGGAACATGGGCTATTTACCTCTCATAGAAGTCAGTGTGGGTTTAAAGTAATATGAACCAATCGTACTTCATCTAACAGCCAGTACGAATGGTTTATACATTACATGATGTTTAAAATAAATTGTGAACGGATTGAAGCCCACGACTCAAGGTCTCGGTTTTAATAACGCAAACAAAACCACTCACACATACATTACTCAAATCAAATTAATATACTCGTACTTGATGAAAATGTGAGATATAAGGATAATGTTGGTTTATGTAATAGAATCGACATTGTGTAAATAATAACACTTTATGTCGTAATTTTGGGGAATATATCATCGTTAATAGCAACATTACCTTCTAAAGCCGTGGTCACATTTGATTGATCTTCAGCACCGTTGTAAAAGAATTTATGGTCCCCTGGGAATTATGGTCCCCTTTCTTAAAGGCCCTTACTGTCCCTGATTGTGGATACGATAATAAGGGAAAGAGTTGTATTTAGGTCACCATATAAATCAATTGAAAGTAGGACAATAATTTGATAGGACCTCCTACCCTTTTACATCGGCGCTCGGCCGATGAGTATTTTGTTCAAAACTGAATACAATACTGAACATCGGAGCAAATGTGACCATGACATAAAGCAATCTGATTTTCGACGCCGTTTTGGTGCCAAATTTCGGTGCCGTTTCGGCACCAAATGGACTGACTAGTCCGGTAACAAATTTTGGTGTCGAAAGGTTTCGGTGCCGGAATGGTGCCGAAACGGTGCCGGAACAGCGCCTATTTTTTTGATGCCGAAACGGCGCCAAATTATATTGGCTGTGTATACTGGGTGGAGGAACTCAGTTGCTACCATCTCAGCCATATTCCCTCTAATTATAAAATAACATGTAAATAATCTATTGTACAGTAATATCTAAAGTGTAATATAAAAATTCATAAATATCTACCTTCTCGTGTGTAAAATATCATAGCAACCCCACAACAAATTATGCTTTAACCCCACAAGCTTCCAATGAAAAGAAAGAAACCATTCTGATTTATCAGTCTTTCCTTATCCAAAGCTTGTGAGAGACGGAAAGCAATGGGACAGAAACCCTTGAATTACAGTGAATAAATCATTCGTTATGACATCTATACTTTGAAAAGTTAGAAACATGTATCATTTTTTTACAGCCCGAGGCAGTAGAAATGTTAATCTATCAAATGTTACCAATGACCACAAATGGTGTAATATTATATGGAGAATACATTGATATTTTAGATGTAAAACATATATATTTTGTGCATATTACTATCATATATTTTGTGATGTTTGTCCAGTAAATGTGTGGTCTCTTGTGATGTTTTGATGCTTCTTTGACGTGTCATTTTCTAAAACGTTAAACTGGCTAAAATATGAAACTAATCCATCTAAAAAAGGTATACAAAGTAGACAAAAAAATTATAACATTGAAAATATGAATATAAATCTTGCACCAAGTCCTTTATTGCTTATTTTCATGTTTCACAGACTTACATTTTCATTGCCTCGTACCATAATATAATATTGCACAAACTTCCACATATTTGCCTATTGCTCTCGATTTGATTCTCAGAGTTAACTCTATGTCCAATTGTATTTCCTCAAAATGCACACTTTTTAATATATACTGATTAGTTCAACCAACACCTTATAGAGGGAGTTGAAACAACTCGGAGTGTGTTTGTTAATTGTTTTGAGCCAGACTGTTAAAAATGAAATAGATTTTCTTTATCCAATACCAGACTTTTTAACACACATTTGAATATGTAGGTAGATGTATGAGATAGTACAGTATGTGTCTTTCTGTAATCGTAGCTTTATTAGACAACGTTAGATATCCTATTTCTGGAACCACGTACTTTCATATTGGAATAGACACATCCTCTTTGTAAAAGATATATTTACCTTGGTCACGAAAACGCAAAATACATTGAAATTTTATTAAAAAAAGCCAGTCGTGCACTTATCGGGCATTGTTCTGGTTCAAGGTGGTCCGTTGAATCAAGGTTCGCTTATGGACGGTCCGTTATGGTCTGATTGATACCATGATTTAGTTTTATGCATAGTAGGATTTATTTGTACTGATGCCCTAATAGGGCTAAACGCACATCCAAAAATAAAAAATTACAATTTAAATATTTAAAAGAAAAATAAAGAAAATAAGACTACGTTCTTCAAATTACACATATACGTAACAGTTATTTTAAAATAAGGCTTTTGGCATAAAAAATATAAAATTAGCTCGGAATACGAATAGCGAACAGGGAATACCCTGCGTTTTAGTGTCTAGTTATAAAGTACTGATAAGACGAAGCTCTCTTGAAGTGAAGTTGAACGAATGCAAAGTGTAAAAAGCAAATCGTTTATCCGACAAAACACATCGGGCGGCACAAACTTACAAATTGGGCTGCATGTGTCATTGTTGTTATTTCATTTCGTCATTTTTTTTAACAAAGGCAACATTTGTATAAATATGTTGTGGTTAGCTGTCGAATACAACCTAATAAAATGTAATCCAATATGCGTTTGAGCATAGTTTATCAAGATTGGTAAGAAATTCGAGAAGTAAGAAAAGCCACAGTATAAACCAATGTATAACAGTTATTCTCTCAAACTGCCTTCAAGAACGCGCTAACTTCTTAATATTTAGCTTACAACCACCATTTTAAAGCACAACTTACGATCGAGAGTATCGTAGCAGACACTCCATATCAGCCATATCCCATAAAGTAAAACATGTGAATACGAACACCTTTGTAGTCTGAACAAAACTCTCAATGTGAACACTTGGACTAATGTTACACTACCCATAGGCTTCGAAGTTAAAAATCCTTGAAATGTGAACACAACTGACGGTTCCAGTGGCGTTCAGATTAGACATGTTAAACTGTATCCTCTTACGATTACATTACACATATATACAGTATAACTCTTCTAGTAACCTGTTCTCGAGTGCTCAAATAAATTATTAGCAGTTTGACAGTGGTGAAAAATAATGTGTTTTTGTTTTGTTAACGTAGATTAATGAGTCAATATATCTGAGTGAAAGTCTGTCAGTTCTGCTAGAGTAGTGATACACCGCCTTCGCACCAGTAAACACCCACAATGTCTCTGGTGCTCTAGTGCAAGATACAACATTGCCTTAGCTCAAGTAATTGCACTTTGAATTAGCAGAAGGTCTAATTTCTTCGATCGAAATCTAAATCCTATGACTTTAGAGGTGATACCAAGATTTTTATTTCGATATCTAAACACGTGCTGTCTTTTTAATGAAAATCAGCTATACTACAATTAAACTGTTTATGATTGTTTATGCTTTATAGTCAAATGAATCATTCTATGAGTGAAGTGATGCTGGTCTTCTTTTCATCTATCCAAAATGTCTAAAGCGTCAAAACGCTAAGTATTAATAACAAACACACGGCACGTTATACAACAAACAGTTTGATGACTATGTACATCCATACATAAGATTGATTTAATTTGTTTTTATTGTTATTCATGGCGGGGATATACTCAGGATCTAAATTTGGGAAAGGCAAAAATGCACAAGTCGAAGGGAATTAAGGCTGAGGGCATCGTGGTAAGCCACGCCCTCTCCATCTCTATCCTTCCGATGCAACAGAGAGAGATGCTATGAGTATCAGAATGGGCTGAAGGAGGTATATTGCAACATTTTGATTCATTACCACTGTTTTTAATTGAAAGTATATTTTCCTTGGACAGTTTCAATTACATCGCCTGCCTTATGCTTGGCTACACATATGCATGACATTTAGTGTTTTTTTTAAATCTTTGAAACTACCAACAGAATCGTTTGTTCATACCCTCAATGCAGCTATCTGATATCTCCGTGTGTGGTTACTAGTCTCAAGATGTGTGTTGCCCGTTCTGGATGTTCTACATGCTGAGTTTATGGTTTATATTGAGATAAATAGAACAGTGAAGATCATTCATTAAGGTACAGATGTAGAGTCAAATTTTCTTGATTTTAGGATGAAGGATCTAACAAATGATAAAAAGGCCCACATTATAATGGCCAAAATGCCCTAATACGTCACTTCCGCTGAATAGAAAAAAGTAGTATTCAAAAATAAATGTAGTCCCAACACAATTGTGATCATGACGAGTCAGTAAGCTAGTATGTAGGCACAGTTGTAATCTTTTTGCAATGACAACATGCCATTTCTTCTGAAAATGCGTTTATTTGGTTTATCTGAAGGAAAATTTCGAGTCAAGTGGCGTATTAATTTTGCCTTCATTTTTGTGAATTTCAATTTGTGTCTGCAGAGAGAGGGGGTAGTGTCACAATTGACCAATTATTTCAAAAAGTAGATGATTGGCCCCTATTGAGTTTAGTGTCAAGATGTAGCTTAGACATAGCTTTAGAACCTCAGATAGGCCAGTGAGGCCACATAAATCCATAACTCGAGATAAAAAGTCAGGCGTTTGCCCTTTTGCCCATTGACTAGTATGGTGACGTGAATTAGGGCAGTTTTGCCTATTAGTCACATGTGAAAGTGACCAAAATTTTTTAAAACTACTCAGAATCGCCCAGAATTGAAGTTTATTAGTGTGGAACATATTTTGGACGGAG